ATTAAGGGCTTATGGCTTGGTACAGAGCCTTAAGACGTAAAACGTAAAGGAAATGCGTTGTCTTTAAGTTATATGCTTGTGGTGCATTATTATTGGTATAGTATTGGTCCATAACAGATTGTGAATCTGCTGTGTTTGGACTTTGAGCTGTGGACTCTTGGCTTTGGGTGTTAGCTTGCAAGGTAAGCTATCATGTCCTCGGTTTAGCCATGTTGTGGTTCCACCATGTCCCATGGGGGTGTGGTTATTAGCATGTTGTGTTACATGCTTTGAATATTTGAAATGCTGTTGAGCTTTATGTGTAATGACTTTTAATATGCATGTGTTGTTCCATCTTGACGGTAAGCCTTAGTATGTAGCGTCATACAAGACGGTGATCCGGGGTGGATTCAAGTAGCGTCTTGCACTATTTGTGGGTATTATAAGTATATAAATCCTGCATTTTTCTGGCCAGTAGAATAGAATCGACACATATGACATGATTATCTGCTGCATTGCACTAATTTAGAACTGATGATGATAAATTGCTTTTGAACTTATATTGCACATGTAAGTGAGCTTGGGGTGGAAGATCCTTGAGGACCCCTTGTCTTACTGAGATTTCTTGTTTAGAGATCTCACCCCACGTTTGGGGAATGCTTATTTCAGGTTCAGGTAGTATGGTGACTGATGCCTCTGCGGCAGGAGGCCAGAGCTTAGCTGATATTGATATTATGTTGTATTGCTGCCATAACTGGTTTTGGATGCTGTTTATGTTTTCCGCTATTTATGATTATGTTGTTGTTGAGACTGATGTTGGGCTTGTTGCCTTATTTGAGTGAGCATGGGGTTTGTCCATGACACTTTTGTTAGTACTTTTAGATTGGAGTTGTATAAACTGTTAGATGGTCCGGTCTACGTTGTTGTAGTTCCGTGACTAGAGCCACACTTATATTATCTATGTTATGAGGTATTTCAGTTAGCTGTTTTATTGCAATTACATATAGACGATGTTTTATTAATTGATTAATAAGCAAGTTGGTAATGATAATGACATCATAATTAAAAAGAAAAAGATATTCCGCATTTTTAATTAAGCGCTGCTTAATACGATAGTATGATAACATTACCGGATATATACGGGGTGTTACAACTACCATCTGAATTATTATGTTATGTTATGCTATATTTGTGAAGAACATAGGGGTTGTCTATGCATTCTAAAATAAGGTTGTATTACTTTGGTCATTTGATGTTGTGATATATGAAATATGTTTATGGAATAAGTGGTTAAAGCCTTGAAATGGTTTATTTTATGCATGATATATAAATGAAGGTCCATTAGATGATGTAGGGAATCTATGGAGAATATGACATGTGTAAATAGATTACCTAGAAAACATATGTTTAAATTATAAGGAGTTAACCATGAAAGAATTTTGGTTAAAGATGTATGAAAGTAAATGACCTAGAAAATAGGTTGATAAGTATTATATGCTAAGCTAAGTATGAATGTAACTATGGCAATTCTATATCAAGTAAGATATGGATTTGGGCATGATGCCTAGAAACATGCTAAATGGACGACTTAAAGCGATTAATGGTTAAAAAGTATGTCACCATATTTGAATAATTAGGAAAATGACAATACATAATAAAAAATAGATAAAGTTTATTCACCTTTTTATATTATTAGTTGTGAATCAATGAGTATAGCTTCTGCAATTTATTTTATTAAATATGTTGTGCTTAATTCCATTATGATGTTATAAAATCAGTCAGGAACGGGTGTTACAACTGCTTTCTTTTTGTAGTGACTGTATTTTTGGAAAGTATTAAATATTATTTTATCCTTTTCGTGTTAGATCGTGGTAATGAACAATGAAATGAAGTGCAATGTCATTGTTGTACTTATTACTTATTTGTAGTGTTTGAATCAATTGACTGTGTTCTTAATTAGTATATGTGCTTTGTTATTAGCCAATATTGCAAAAAGGAGAATTAGTAGGAAGAGAGAAACAAGAGATTGTTATAGTAGGGCGACGATAAGGAAAGTTGATAACTCTCTTGATGAGAGTTAATTTTATGCCTTATTTACATGATTTGGTGCCATATTATATCATAAATCCCTTATAATTGCATGATAGTAGCATTAATCATGTCTCTTTATTTTTTGATTGAGAAATATTCTAAGTGTTGATATTTGATGTTATTTCGAGTGCTAGAGCAATTCACTATCTTTGTTGTTTTTGTTGCATATCAGAGTCGTAGCTCTGAGTAGCAAAGATGTAGCAATCATGCTTAAGTGAAACGGTGCATTGAAGGTGTAAGGAATAACTAACTTTGAATTTCAAATTCAAACAAAGAGATAAAGACACTACAACATTAGATCAGGATAAGGAAGTTATGCGAGATAAAGAATAAGCATATATCACTTCCAATCCTAACATTTTGGCTAACAAGAAGATTAAATTAGGCTTAAGGGATAAACATCCATCCTTTTCAAAGGCTATTTTCTAGGGAATTTGAATTAGAAGACTACTTGGAGCCCAAGTCACCAAGTTCTATATAATGAGAGGCCTACACACGTTCAAAGCAAGCTTTCAAGGGCTGAAACACTTAGAAGATTTTGAGGATTCACTGAGAGATCCAACGAAGCAAGGGGAGAAGCAAGGGTCCAGTAGAGAGATCACTTGATCCTTGCACTACTCCGACGGCTGAGAGACGGAGGAAAGTGGCAGCGCAAGGAGTTGCTATGAGAGCAGAGCTACAACGTCACCCCTGTCTATTTTATCTTAGTTCCATGGAATCTTTATCTTTCTTGTTTTTTTTTATTCAAGTATGAGCTAAATTGTCTACGATTGGATGAGAGAGTACACGTACTATGATGTAATCAGTTTGCCTAAACTTTGCTATGTAATTTTTCATTAAGTTGTTTAAGAAAGTACTTAAATTGTCTCAATCTTGTTAACTTATCGAAAAAAAGTTACAAGTGTCATGGGATTTGGGTTATAAATATATAGGTCAACGTGGAAAGTTATTAAATATTGTGGATTAACTATCTAGATTGGTTAATTGTGGGTAGAGAGATCATCCTCACCACACAATCATATAGAACTTGCACTTATAGATTCAAAACTATGCGACCATAGAGATATACTGTTTATGAGAGCCCTTGCATACCTGAGTGTTCTGATTACTGATGGATAATTACTGTAGCTTTATTACTGCAATACTAGGGAAATTGATTATAATCTATCTTTTAAATACTTGAAATCAGTGTTGTTAAACCCGACCCGGGCATCGACCCGGTTGGAGTACTGGGTCACTGGTCGGACCGGTTGACCCAGATATATATAGATATATAAAAATATATATAAATATGAACATATAAATTTAATTATATTCTCCATATCTAAAATGAATTAAACAAGGTTCACTAAATAAGCTAAAAAGCATGAAGCATAAATAAATAAAAGTGCATGCTATTATTATGTCAATTTAAATTGGAACTCAGAATCCCCATAAACATACCTCTCAATGACATTGAACTCATAGTTTTCAAATTCAACTACATTAAAATGACATATGTCACATTCTCTAATTTATTATTCCACAAATTACTTCAGTATTGGAAACTAAGAGGTCATTGTAGAAGAGTATACTAGCAAATAAAATTACAAAAAGTTTTTAAAATGAGATTTACATTTTTTTGATAAAATGAAACAATTTTGGGTTTTTTTTTTTAATACATGATCCGACCGGGTAAGGGTCACAACCCTTGATGTGAACCCTTTGTTTGACCGGGTCGGTCAGGTTTGACCGGGTCGATGCATGACCGATCCAATGCTTAACTCGAACCGGTCTGATGACCGGTTCACCGAATTCTGGGTCGACCCGGCCGGATCGGGCCGGGTTTTACAACAGTGCTTGAAACTTATCTTTTTAAGTGTTTTCGTAGTTAGACAATAATCTTAGCTTTGTTTAATCATTAGTTATTAGTTTAAATCACAATTTAGTCCTTAATCATTGTGTTACTCTTATTGCTTCACAATTTAGTCCATGCATGAGATAGCACACACAAAAATGGGTGAAATTCACTTTTTTCTTTTTATCTCTTCTTCTTAGTGGGTTCCACCCATTTTTTTATGTGTTGTATCATTGTATGAGACAATTTTGTCTCATACAACATGATAAACATATTTCCCTTTTATATATAGGAAAAATTATTTTATCTATCTTCTTTTCAAGTCTACCTTACATCCCTTCTTACCACTCTTCAACATCATTATATTAGATCTTAACTAACCTTTATCATTTCTTTCTCCTCATTAGATTATGATCTATCGATGTTTAGAGTGGCACGTAAAGTAGGTATAAGAAAAGACAGATAAAATAACTTGTCTCTTTATATATTTATAAAACTTCAGTAATGTTTATCTTATTTTCTATTAGTATAGCACCTAAACTATTTAGTAGGTTATGATTATTTAAGTTTATTATTCTTCCAGTTTTCTTTTTGAAAATTTTTACAAAAAGTGAAGAAGTAAGAATATAAACTATTAATGAAGTGAATATAAATTTAAGGAATTTAAATGAAAAAAATCAATAAAAGTTAGTTCAACTAGTAAAATTAAATAATGTTAATCAAAAAATATTAATTTTGATTTTAATGATAATTATTTATTGATAAATCATATTTAATGACCATAAACCTTGCATAGCATGTTAGTTACAATGCGTTGATCTAAAATGTGACAATCCTTTCTCCAATAAACTTTCATTAATTAATAAAATAAAAATGCTAGTAAAATGACTTGAGAATAATATTTATTTTTTTATCATTTTTATGTTTGGAATTTGAACTTAGTTTATAAAAAAGAGAGATTTTAAGGCCCATGGTGTTTGTTGAATGACCATTGTAAATGTTTTAACAGATCGGCCCAATTTATTGGTGTGTGAAAAAAAAAAAAAAAAAACAGAAAGGGCAATCAAATACGGGGTTTTTGGCTAAACTTTTTGAGCATATACCCTAAGTTCGCACTCCATGGCGGAAGCTACAGCACCGGAACCGGAAGTAGTCGAGGCCAACACGACGGAAGCCACCGTGGGCATGGTTGTCGAAGACGCTGAAGCCAACAGCGAGTCGAACCAGAAGCGGTGTAGAGAGGATGAGGAAGAAGACGATGTTTCAAAGAAGCAAAAGGTGGAAACAGAAGAGGAAGAGAAGAAATCATCAGGTTCAGTTCCCGTGAAATTGGGTCCCAAAACCTTCGGTTCTTCCTTGGAGATGTTCAATTACTTCTACAAATTCCTTCATGCTTGGCCTCCTTATCTTAATGTTAACAAGGTATTACACCCTTGTAATTTCCCTCTTTCTTTGATTTGTTCACTTTCCCTTGAACCTATTAACTATGAAGAAAGAATGTAATACAAAAACATATAAAGAACCCACCTCTGCTCACACAAATAATTTTTAGTTATTCATTTCAATATACAATGTTTACATGAAAATTAGAAGATAAGAAAGGTCATTAGACTTGCAACTCAATATACAATAAACACATGCAAAACACGAATCGATTAACTGGCAAATGGCAACTTACACACCATTAAATCAGTGTCCAGATCAGGATCACAAGGAAATAATTTGTTTCCTGGATTCGAACCCGTGAACCTTTCAGTCACAAAGAAGTCCAGGCTCGCCCAGCTCAAAAAGAAGGGTGATATGAAAAAAACGCAAATGCTTGACTGGAGCCTGTGACAGGGGAATGATGTGAACTATAGAGGATGTAGACGAAGGATCTCAAGCATGATGTGTACCTGCTATGGATTTGGGGGATGAGACCAGAAAAATCGCACCAAAGAGGAGAATGGTGTATCTGGTTCATAGAGATTTGTTGCTAAGTGCGAACAAATGGAATTGTGCCATGTGAAAAGTGCTGCAAACAAAAGGGATTGTATACAGATGAAGAGAGTGATGAAGATCCTTGGCTTCCATAAACTGTAGCAGCTTTGATGCGTAGGGATGGAAAATGTATGGATTGGATGGATTTTGGAATTGACCATAATGCATGGATAAAAAGTAACCATTAATCATTTAGGATCCATTAAAATCATCCAAACCATCCGCAACCTATTTTAATGGATGAATATCTAATCCATCGAAGTCCAATTAATTCATAGGATGGATGGATATCCAACCTACAAATTTGAAATCATATTACTTTTTTTTTTTCTCTTACACTTTCACTCTGCCTGACCTTATCAACTTATCTGCGAGCAAGATGTGTGGTGGTCTGGTGGATCATGGGTTTAATGAATAGCTGATGTAGTATTGTAGTTAATGAAGAAAGGGGAAGGGATATCCATTAACCATCCAATAAATATTTTGGTTGGTCCATTAAACACCCATTAACTAAATGAACCAAATCCTTCTAGTCCATTAAATCTATTATTGTAATTGGGTAGATTGGATTAAGTATAGGTATGGATGGACCTGATGCATGATGGATTAATGTATCTAATTGCCACCCCTAATAGTGCCAAAAGAAAATATCTTCTGTCCTGTGACTGTGGTTATCCTTTTTTCGGTTGTGCATATCATATGCATACGCATGCCTTATTGTTGCAACCTTGTGCTTGCCATCTTTGGTGCAATCTTCTTGTTTTTCATGTTTGGCAGTTTCCTTGCAAAGATTTCCAGAAGTTCATCGATCAGTTATTTTGATGCATGGGTTTGCAAAATGGTTTTCAGTGCCATCAAGATATGATATGATGATTCAATTTCACTTATATCTACATTTCAGGATAGAACTGCAATAGTGCATGCAAATTCATTGCCACCTAATGTGTAAATTGGTTTTTAAATCAGTACAATCTTAGTATGTTGTCTCAGTAATTTATATTGATGATGCAGTAGCAGCAACCTGAATTTACTTCTTACTGAATTCACTATGGGTTGTAATGTTTGGCAGTATGAACAAATAATGTTACTGGAATTGCTTAAGAATGGCCACACAGAGCCTGATAAAAAGATTGGAGGAGGAATCCGAGCTTTCCAAGTCCGCAAACATCCTATGTGGAAAAGTAGATGCTTCTTCCTCATTAGGGAGGATGAATCTGTTGATGATTTTAGCTTCCGTAAATGTGTGGATCATATTCTTCCCTTGCCAGAAGAGATGCAATTGAAACCTGATGTGAACAGGGCATTAGGTGGTTCTGGTGGAGCAAAGCATCATGGAGGAAGGGGTGGCAGTGGGAGAGGAGGTGGGCGTGGCCATGGAAGAAAAGGAATGTCGAGACGTTGAGTGCAATGTTTACTGCTGGTATTAGTTATGTTTGAAGATCTATAATGTTTTCTGTACACTTGGCCAGCTTATTTCATGTTTCTTGATGGTAACTGTATAATTCAGATTTTGACTTTTTATTATTTGCGGTTATATTTCAGTCCTGATCCTTTTAAAACGATGCCTTGCTTCAATACAAGTTCCGTCGATTTAACCAATTTGGTTGTTCTTACGCTCACATTTGTATTATACCACAACGTCAGAGCATTCATTGGTTGGAATAGTATTTTCGTTCTTTGGTATGCACGGGCATGCGGTTTTGTCTTAAAATGTTACAACCTGCACGATTGGCCAGTTTTCTATTGATTCGTTGTTGATGTGGTTGGCTTGATGTCGATTTGCCTTGTAGGAACTTGGAGCAAAGAAACAAACTGACGAATATAAATCGAGAGCACGTTTGTTCTTCATGAATAACTGAGGAAAAATGCTATAACCAGCTAGTAAAACATCAAAAACTAACAGAAGCAACTGTTACAGTGAGACATTGGAACTTGGAAGCACCATCGTCTACCATGCTGCAATCCACGTTTATCCTCGATCAAGCACGTCAATATGAACTTTTAAGAGCGTGGAAATACTTGAAGATTCAAATAATTTCTGAGTAGATGGAAAATAACTAAAGTATCACTTATTTTCCCTTAGCTGCTTTGAAACCTCAGAATGCCCATAGTAGAAATTGATATCTTTTACCAATTGGAGGTGTAAAAAGAGTACTTGCATTTTCATAGTTGCATCCGAATTATATTCAATTAGACAGGTTCAATTAGAATATACTGCTTCAACAATAATGAGCATATAATAATAAAGCAGCAGACTGAGTTATAAAAACAAGTTGGGTGAATTAGTTCTAACCTCAAGAAAATATATTGAGGACAATATTAAAATGTAATATTAGTCTAAAAATATTTTCATCAGTAAAGAATAGCTGCAGTTAACATTGATTTCCCAATAAGCAGTAGCATGACATCTGCAGTCGTGAGGCCGATGAAATAATGAATGTGACGAAAACCTACTTACGGAAGAGAGAGCTTTACGACTAAGAAGATAACTAGTGAAAGAGAAAACCTATGACCCGCAAACAGAGCTATCAGAAAATAATGCATGTTATATTATTATCAAAAAATAACATTTTATATATTTATAAACCTTTATTTAAGTTTTATCTTATTTTCCATTAGTCTAGCACCTAAACTATTTAGTAATTTATGTGATCTGAATAAATATTATATAAATACAAAACTCAGAATTAAAGCCTTCACAATGAAACAAAGCCTTAGTCCAAGAAGGCTGCAAGCTCCACAATATTAAAAGCACCATGATAGACAGCAAACTCCACAAGCTGCCATAACAGCAAGCTCATGACAGTCATCAAGCTGCACAATATTAATGGCTTTATCCCATCAAGCACCACAATATTAAAGCTTATCTTAGCAAAGCTCCTCAACATTAAAGGCAGCATGGCAGCAAGTAACTTCAAGATACTTCATCTCCAAGTATACTTCAGCATTAAGACATCTCCAAGCTGCTCATATCTCCACTATAAATACATGTATCAACACTAAAGTACATCATCTTCTCCTACATAATTAAACCTGCTTGAACCATAACTGACTTGAGCGTCGGAGTGTCTTGCAGGTACACCCCATCGCGTTCCATAGAAGACCCATGGGTTAAAGCTACTCTAAACTCTAAACTGCAAGATGCTCTGACCCAAGGAGGATCCTGGCCTTTTGTGTAGAGGAAGATCACATGATCGGCCTAGTTGTAATAATCTGGTCTGATCATTATGTTTATTTAAGTCCATAATTCTTCCTGTTTTCTTTTTGATAATACTGAGTAAGTTAATATAAATTTAAGGAATATAAATGAAAAACATCAATAAAAGTTAGCTCAACTAGTAAAATTAAATAGTGTTAATAAAAAAAGTCTTAATTTTGATTTCTGATGATAATTCTTTATTGATAAGTCATATTTAATCACCATAAACCTTGCACAGGCATGTCACAAAGCGTTGATCTATAATGTGACAATCTTTTCTCCATTAAACTTTTATTAATTAAAAAATAATAAGAATACGAATAAAATGACAGAAATAATTTTTTTTTATGAAAAAGTTCAAAAATTCTCTGTGATTTCTCTTTGAATCATTTATGACCTTTTTTTTATCCAAATTCACCTTAACATTGTTAGAAACTTGGTAAAGGATTAAGCTTTCTTCTTCTAACTTACATGGTGACATCAACATGCTTATAATAAAGGATTATGTTCTTCCTGGAGATGTAATAGACAATTAATGTATTCCTTATTCTTTCAAATTTGAACACTCTACACCTACGGTATTTAATTTAATTTATCTTGTAGATGCATATTAAAATGCTACTGTAGCAAACATAGCTTAACAATCATGTTTTTTCCTTACAGACAAGCCAACTGATTCAGTCATGCCTAGTTCTTCAGGCTTATTCCCGTTAGGAATCTTCCAATCAAAATGGATAAGCAAGTTTGCTAGGAAGAGTTCAACATTAGCAAAGCAAAGTGTAGAGCCGTGTCGAAAGATCTGAGATGGGTTAGGCGCGTACTTACACGTGCACGATATTTTTGTTGTCTGCTAGGGTTTTGCTAACTGAGTTTTGTTTGGAGGTGCTCGAATGGAAAAAGAGAAAGGTTACGGGGATGACTCTCTGGTCACGTCTAGAAAGAGTACGAAGCGTACCAAGAATGGAGATGAAATCCAGACGGAGGTGGTGATGTGCGAAGCGATTAAAGATTTTCAATCTGGATCAGCTATGATCGAAAAATCGCGATCGTTTGCAGAGGTGATTGGTGTGGAGAATGGTGTGTCCGGCGACAACGCTCCATGGCTGTTTGAAGAAGAAAAACCTGATTTGGAAGATCTGGACCCTAATTTGGGAGTGATATCTGAGTGGAGGTTCCAGACAATTGTGAGGGAAGATGGTTCGGTTGAGATCAAGAGCAACAGGGACGCAAGAACCATAATGCGTCAGCGATGGAAGAACGCCTTGATTGTGAAGCTGCTGGGGAGGAAGATTGGCGTTGGCTTTATGAAGAAAAGGCTGGAGGTGTTGTGGGCGAAGGCCGGAAGTATAACCGTTGCTGATCTGGGCAACGACTTCTTCTCGGTCAGGTTCAGTACCTTGGAGGACGTGAATTTGGCGATAACGGGAGGACCATGGATCATACTCGGTCATTACCTTGCAACTAGGAAATGGGAGCCGTGTTTTGATCCTGATAAAGCCAATATTCACAAGGTAGCTGCATGGGTTCGCCTTCCAGGTATCCCCCAGGAGTACTGTGAGTTTCCATTTTTAAATCATCTAGGATCAGTAATTGGTAAGGTCCTGAAAGTGGATAAGACTACTTCTACTGGGGATAGGGCACGGTTTGCTCGTGTGTGCATAGAAATTAATTTAGCTATGCCGCTAAGAGGAGAATATGTCTTAGATGGTTGCAGGAAAAGAGTAGAATATGAGGGTCTTTACTTGATATGTCTAGAGTGTGGAAGGTATGGTCACAATGCTGATGCATGCCCGGACTTTATCAAGACAACTCATGTGAATAAACCTGAGGAGGCTACTGTAAGCCCCATGGAAATTCCTGGACTACAAGGCGTTGGACCATGGATGGTGGTTCAAAGAAGAAAGAGGAATCAACAACCACAGCACAAGCAGGATCCTGGGAATAATAGAGTTTTTGGGGAGGACATTTCTAACAAGAAGAAAGTGGTGGGACAGAAGGCTGGTGTTAATCATGTGAAGAGTACCCCCAAAGGGATGGCTGTGAAGCAGAATGGGATGAATCCCTCTAGTCCCAAAGTGAACAAGGAAAACTTTTCCTCGGGTTCTCAAATTGATTCCCCAGTTATTGGAATGCTGTTTTCAGCCAGGGCTGACAAATCTGTCAAGAACAGTGGAGTGAGCAAACCTTCGGTGGTGAACTCCAAGAAATTTGTGTACAAGACCTCATCAGTAAAAGGAAAGGGAATTTCCACAGATTCTTCGGTTTGTTTTGGAGCAGGTAGTAGCTCGAATGTTCAGAAGAATGATACTTTGAATGGTTTAGAGAATGGGGCATGGGATGATCTGCTGCTAAGAGAGAAGTCTGTTCCCATTGCAGATAAGTATTCTGCTGAGGACATGGCTACGGTTGCTTCATTGAACGAACCTGTTCCTCCAGATTAGGGGTGGCAATTTGGGTTGACCCGCCCCGCCCCGCCCCGCCACCAACCCGCCAAAAACGGGGCGGGGCGGGTTGACCCGCTAAAAAATATGGGTTGTAAAAATGAACCCACCCCGTTTTATGGTGGGTTGGCGGGTCAACCCACCAACCCGCCAATTAAAAAAAATTTAATTAAAATTCAAAAATAAATTATATTTTATGAATTTTTTTAATATTACTTTATTTTATTTCACACTTCTCTATATTTTTTTTAGTCTCAATCTTAAATGTGTACTAATATTTGTCAAACATTCTTTAGGAATTTATAAATAGATAACATTTGTTATAAATAAAATTGTTATTCTTTATTTTTTCTAGAAAGTACTAAGATAAAAAAAAATTGAATATCACAAAAATTTAAGTACTAATGAAATACTACCTAATTGTAAAAAAATAAAAAAATTTAAAACCCGGCGGGTCCACCCGCCCCGCGGCGGGTTGAACCCGTTTTGACCCACTTCTAGGCGGGGCGGGTTGAGGTGGGTTGGTGGGTTGAAAATCTCAACCCAACCCGCCCTGTTTTGACGGGTTGGCGGGTTGACCCGCCGGGCTCAACCCATATTGCCACCCCAACTCCAGATCGAGTCATGGGAGAGTCCTTAAAGGTGGTGGATGCTAATGCAGGTATGGAAGTAGTTTAACTTTTAATGCCAATTTAGATTCTGCCATGAGTAACTGCTGTGTGTCTGCTAGTAATGAGATGGATGATGAAAGCAGTAAGGTTGTGAGCCATTATCATGGGTCTGAAATGTATGAAGGAAACAACAAGAGCTTAAGGATCTTGCAAAAAAATCAAGATTTATCATGAATGTGTTCACATGGAATTGTAGAGGTGCAGCTAAGAAACAATTCAAGAGCACCTTCAATAGATTCCGAATAAAGTATAAAATTGGTATGGCTGCTATCCTAGAGCCTAGAGTGAGTGGAAAAAAAGCAATCAAAATTA